AAAGTCCCACCACCTAAACATTATCACATTAAAGTTCAGGATTTCAACATACACATTTTGAAAAGGACACAGACATTCAGTCCACAGTTTCTTCCCTCTTCCTCTAAAAATCTCTAGCAAATTCTGCTTTCATATATATTGTTTTGTCAGTGCTCTAGGAAACAGTGATAATTGTTTTTTATGTGCATTTTATTATAAATGATGATCATGCTATCCTAATTTTATGTTTATTAACTTCATATTTTTTCTAAAATTGTATATTTTTATCTATTGTTGAGACATTGAACTTTTCCTTGTAGCTTTAAAATCAGTTTGCATATTTGGAACTTTAGGCTTTTGTCCATCTCAAAAATTACTTCCCCTGGTTTTAAAATTTATCTTTCAACCTTGTTTATCATAGACTTTCCCTTCTGCCTTTCTTACCTCAGTATTATAAAAATATTTACCCACATCTTTGTCCAACATTTATGGACTGGTGTTATTTGCATGTAAATCTTGGATCTATCTGAAATTTATTTTGGTTTTAAAAGCAATATAAAGATCTGGATTTACTCTTGTATTTTTTTATTTAGGACATAATTCTCAGATCTAGGATTTTTATTTTGTTTTCTTTTACAGTTTGCATTTTCTGCTTTGATTCTCAAGATCTTTGCCCAATCTTTTTCTTACTACATCTTTGAACATATTTATAATAATTTTTAATTTTTGTCTAGATTATTCTAGTATCTGAGCAATCTCTCTTCTCCCTCTCTCTCTCCCCCTCCCTCTCCCCCTTTTCCTCCACCCCCTCCCCTTTTCTTTCTGATTAAACCAAGGGATTTGCACTGAGCTATATATGCAATCCTTTTTTATTTTTTATTCACAGACAGTGTCTCAATAAGTCACTAAGTTGCCCAGGCTGAGCTTGAACTTTCAATCCTCCTGCCTCAGCCTCTGTGGCACTGAGAGTAGAGGGTGAACTTGGTTGGTTTAGGGATCTGACCAGGACATTGGTGTAATACACTTCTTGGTATAGATATCTAGGTGGATCATGGTGGTATGGTCTTGGGGTCTATGGTCCCTGGCCCCTTCTTTTGTACTGTTACCCTGCTCTGCTTCCCAGTCACTTTTAAACTTTGCTCTGTCACACCCATTTGCCATGACATATTTACCTGTGAGCTAGCCAGTCATAGATTTAATCCCCAGAAACCAAGATCCAAATTAGGTGTCTCCATCTTTAAGTTGTGGGGATCAGTATTGTGTCCCAGTGATGGGAAAGCCTCCCAAAATGCTGTAGACATGCGCCACCATACCTTGCTGGTTTTTGTTTTTTTCAGTTTGTTTTTTAGTGCTGGGGATCAAATTTAGGGCCTTGAGCATTCTAGGCAAGTGTTCTACCACTGAGCTACATCTCCAGCCAAAGTTTTTGTGTAGTTGTCCTTTGGTGTCCATGGGGGATTGGTTCCAGGACACACACATCCATCCTGCCAAAAATATCAAAATCTGCAGATACTCAAGTCCCTTATATAAAGTGATGTAGTATGTGTATCCTTCCATGTACCTAAAATCATCGCTAGATTATTTTAATACCTAATACAATGTAAATGCTATGTAAGTAGTTACCATTCTATATTTTAAGGGGATAATAACAAGGAAAAAAGTCTGTCTATGTTCAGTACAGGCACAATTTTTCTCCAAATATTTTTGATCTGGTTAGTTGAATTCACTGATTTTTGAACACACAGACTTGGAGGGGCAACTATATGATAATGATTGAGGAGCACTGTTGTTTTGTTTTCCCAGAGACTAGAGGAATGGTCTTTTTTTTTAATAGCTTAAAAAACAACAGCAACAACAACAACAACAAAGCCTGGAATAGCCTACTCAGAGAATGGGTGTTGATAAGACTTCTTCAAAATGGCATAAAAATCTTTCCGTGACCCCTCTCTCAGCTTTGCTTGGGGAGGAGGAGGTGATCAAGAGAATTAGGAGGAACCTGCTCTTCCTGCTAAGACTAGTGTCTGGGAACAGCTCCAGCCTATTTTGCAAGACAGTGTCAGAACAGCTTCTGACCTCTTTCATCAAGCCTCACATTGTCTCTGGGGCTCTGAGTACCCTTGAACCTCTGACCCCCGTCTGTCCTCAGATAAGATGTGTGGTTGGAGGAGGCCTGAGGATGGAGCACAGACCTCACCTAACAGAGCCCAGGTGATGGGAGAAGAATTATATGGAGAGCTATATCTAACCCCCTTCAGAGCTTTGGGTCCTGAAAGCACCCATTCTGGGTGTAGGGATCAGCTCTGCAGTAAGTCCTAGTCTCCTGCGAGCCACGGCAGCGCAAGGTGAATTGCAGGAAAGGTAGAAAAATGAGACTTTGAGAAGAAGTTGAGCTTTGGGTCTGATCACTGCTGCTCAGGGCTGCTGGCAAAGATGAAAGCCCCCAGTTTAGGGCACCTTGGGAGAAACAGATGTAACAAATGTGACAAATGACTTGCAGAGAGCTCAGTACATCCCCGTAAACAAGATGTAACAATCCAAGAACAATGAGGAACTGAGTAGATGAAGATTTTGTTCCTCCCAGGATGTCTTCAGCTGGTGTAATCTTGTCCTGGAGAATCACAGCATCACCAGATCATTGAGGTCTCAGTTGTGACCGGAGGCCAAAATGGAATTATGTCTTGGAATTCCATAGCTGGCCTGTAGGCAGGAGAACTAGGCTAACCAAATGATTTTTCCCTAAAATTACAAGTATTGCTCCCGACACTGGGGACCTACCTGTTCCTCCCAAGGACTCCTGACTTTTGTAATTTTTATAGTCTCCTCATCCTCCTGAATAGCACAAGTGTTTCAGGGCCTCTCTTGCCTGTCAGGGCAATTTTGCCAGCACTATTACCTATCCCAGCTTTCACACCCTGGTCTAGGTGTATTCTTCTGGCCCCCGCCCCCAAACTCCATGTGGTTAGCTAACCAGCACCCTCAGCAGACAGATAGCACGCCACTCCAAATGGCATCCTCCCCAGTAACTCATCCCCCTATTATTGTAAATGCCATTGTCATCTTTCTCTCTTCTCCGACCAAATTCCTTATAGCTATCTCTGAATTCTCTTTGTTGTATTTCCCAAAACAAGCTACTTCTCAAGATCCTAAGCTGTTCCCCAGCCCTGGCCTCCTCCATCTATGCCCTGGACTTGGAGGTATCCCCATGTCCCCTGCTTCCCCTGACCCTCTCCACATGCAGTCAGAACATGTGGGCCACATGTGGTCCCACTCATACCTCAGACTTGTCAGTACCCCTGTTCCTGCTTGCTTCGTCTGGAGGGAAAACTTGATTTCATGACCTGCAAGCTTTCCTGGCCATCCCGCCTTTGGACTCCTCACTCCCCTGCCTTGTTTTGCGGCAGTCACACTCAGTCCCATGACCTCTGTCCTTCTGGGCTTGCTCCCACCTGCATTATACCACCTGGCTCCTTATCTCAGGAGGCTATACACCTCCCTCCTGGTTGTCTCCAGATGTCCCTTTCCTGCCAGGGATTTCCCTGGCCACCTTATTTAAATTGTCTTCTCATACTCCCACTCACATTGCTGTTTTCTCTTTTTTGTTTGTCAGTGTCTCTTGTCTGTAGCTTATGTCTTGTCTGTGGCCCTCACCATTGGGATTGTTGGGCCAGCGATGAGAGACACCAGGTGTTCCTTCCTGGGCTGCTGCCAGGGGCTACTCAGACCCCTGGATACTTGTGAGGGGGGAACAACAGGGAATAAAGAGAAACAGAGACAATATTCAAGATGCAAGAGGACCAGGAGAAGTCTGCCTGTAGTGCACAGATTCAGCTGTTTCTGGGTTGACCCACTTTTATTACCAAGCAAGAGAAGCACAAAAGGCAGGGGTTGAGCATCATTCAGGGATCAATAACAATTGAGAAGATATTTTGAAAAACAGAGAACAGGTTAAATTTTTACTAGGGGAGTATGTGAGAAGGAACAGGTTTTTCCCTGTACCCAGTTCTTCAGTGCCTGTCCAAGTTAATAAGGTAGTAGCATTCTTTTTTTTTTTTTTTGGTACTGGGGCTCGAACTTGGGATCTTGTGCTTTCAAGACAGGCGGCGGAACCACTGAGCTAAATCCCTGGCCCAGAATTACCATTCTTTTCACTGTCCTCAGCAGATGTTATGTTGCCATGGGAGCACTGTGATTATGAGCATTCCCACACACAGCCAGAAAGCACACAGCTTTCCACGTTTTTGTTTCCCGAGGCAGGTCACATTGGCCTTGGGACTGTGGGACACAATCTACCCCCCCCCAATAATTCCTCATATAGGGCTGGGGATTTAGCTGAGTGGTTTTGCCACCTGCTGCACAAGTGCAAGGACCCGAATTCGATCCCCGGAACCAAAAAAAACCCCACAATAATTCCTCACATAGCCTGGTCCCCAACAGGTTGCCATGTGAAAAACCTGAAAATTGCTTTCCAAGTATGAGCTGGCACACTCTCACTCTTGCCAGTACCTGCATGTCTTCTAGGCACCCCTTCTCCTCTACCTGGGCACCCCTCATTCACACAGAAGGGGACTTGGCTGAGTGTGGCTGGGCCATGGGAGCAGCTTGGACCATGGAGTTGCAGGCTCCTCTTGGCTCCCTGGATCACTGGATCTGGTTAGTAAGATGAAAGTGTTGTACAGGGCCTGTGTAGGATGAAGGAAAAGAGGAGGCATCTAAAGCCAAAGCCTTGGCTCTGCCTTTACCAACTTAGAGGCCCCAAGCAAGCAATCTCATCTCAGCCACAGGCAATTATCAAGATTGTTAAAGAATCTCCAGAATGGGTCGTGCCCAGCACCATGAACTGAAATGAAAAGAACCTAGCCTGGAAAAAAGACTGGAAGGAAACACTTCAAACACTAATGTGACTGAGCCCTGGGAAGTAGAGTTATAAGTGCTTTTTTTTTTTTCTTCATACTTTGCTGAGTTTCTAAGTTGTATCCAGTGGATATATATTCCTTTTTCTAATGTTTGTTCTGTACTTGCAGTTTATGCGAGAGATGGCAGGGGCCTGGCATATGACAGTGGAGCAGAAGTTCGGCCTGTTTTCTGCAGAGATAAAGGAAGCAGACCCCCTGGCAGCATCAGAAGCGAGTCAGCCCAGACCCTGCCCCCCAGAAGTCACCCCCCACTACATCTGGATCGATGTATGTACCTGTCCCCCCCATTCTGCTATGCTCTGCCACCTGGATAGTTGGGGCCAGTACTTTACCCGGGGCCACTAAACTGGGGGATGTTACCTGAGAGAGAGAGCATGACCATTCCAGCCCTCTTCCAGCCCCAGCTGACCTCACTGGCCCTGGGGTCAGGCTAGCTCAGCTCTGTCACCATAGTGCTTTTCTTCTTATCTAACCAGTTCCTGGTGCAGCGGTTTGAGATTGCCAAGTACTGCAGCTCTGACCAAGTAGAGATCTTCTCCAGCCTGCTGCAGCGCTCTATGTCCCTAAATATTGGTGGGGCAAAGGGGAGCATGAACCGGCATGTAGCAGCCATAGGACCCCGATTCAAGTGAGTCCTTTCCTCCTCTGGGGGGCACAGGGGTTCCTGTCACTGGCATGGAGCATGGGTCTATCATGTCAGGCGGTATGGGGCGTGTGTGTGTCATGGTACTTCCTTGTATTCTGGAGAAAATCTTGCACAGGTGTCCCAAAATGATCAGGATGAGCTTGTCAGGGACATCCTTCCAGACTGCATGGAGGCAGTGAGCTTCTGGCTGGTTATAGCATCTCCCACCCCAACTCCTCTTGTCTGGCCCTTCTTTCTAGAACTTGGTTTTTGCCAGCCTCTGTACCCAGCGTCTGCCCCAGCCTAGGGACAATTCAGGCCCTCGCTCCTGCTACCTGCCCTGTCTGCCCATCCCTGAGCTCCAGATTATGTCCCTATAGCCCTCTGGCTGCTGGAGCCATGCTTCTCAAACCAGTTGCAAGGAAGGTCCAGTTCTTTTTTGGGGGGGGGCGGTGTACTGGGGATCGAACTCAGGACCTTGTGCTTGTAAGGCAGGCGTGGTAAATCCCTGGCCGAGGTCCAGTTCTCTTTGTTAATATCCAATCTGTCATTACTTACACTTATAAAATGCAACAGGAATGAATTACTAGAAAACAGTCTGCACTCGACCATCCCAGTAGTGTTCAGTTGCCATAGCAATGAGCAGGCACTCCCTCTCTGCCTATAGGGACATTTGATGAGCAGCTGAGCTGGGGAGTGAGCCATCCTCAAAAACAGGGACGTCACCTTGCCTACACTGTACCCTCCCCCGTCCTCCCTTTCTGTCCTCTGGGGTGGCTTCCTGTCCTCTGACCTTTAGTTATCCAGACGCAGATAGTTTTGCTTTCCCTTGCAGTATGTCTGGCCTCTCTTGCTCGCTTTCACATCTGAGCCTCACTTCACCCTTGCCACTTTCACTTGGACCAACCAGCTACCTCACTGTGATTCTCCTTCCTACCACAGGCCATCGCCTGTACCTCACGTTACCTGTGTCTCTCTGGCTAGAGCAGATGGCCTTCTTTGGGGTGGTCTTGTTACACTACATCCTCCAGAACCCTCAGTCCTGGCTCCTACCACCACTTCCCTGTAGACCACCCCCATACCCTGCTCCTACCACTTAAGAAGCTGCTCTTCAGGGCCATCTCACTGCCAAACCTTTCAACAGCTGGGGTCTGTCCCTCTGGGTGAGGCTCCATTAGAACTAGGTCCTTCTTGTGTGGGATTTCTGTGTCTCTCCCACCAGGGAGACTCCTGATCTCCTCTACCCACCCTGAATTATAAGCTTCCTGCAGACAGGAATAGTTCCTCCCCACCATCCTTCACATCACCTTGCCCAGGAACTAGCTTAGCAGAGACTAGGTACTTGAGAAATTATTTTCTTGGGTTTTTTTGTGTGTGTGTGCTACTAGGGATTGAACCCAGGTCCTCACACTTGCGTTCCCAGAACCCCTCTTAAAATTTTTAAATTCTGAGACAGGGTCTCGCTAAAGTTTCCCAGGTTGGGGTGGAATTTGTGATCTTCCTGCCTCCACCTCCCAGAGTATAGGAATTATAGGCATGTGCCACTATTTTTCTTTTGTTTTTTGGGGGGTTTTTTGGTACTGGGGATCGAACTTGGGACCTTACGCTTGCAAGGCAGGCGCCAGAACCACTGAGCTAAATCCCTGGCCCACTATTTTTCTTTTTAACTTGAATTAAATATTCTCCCTTTGCCACACCTGCAAGGGGCTATACCTCAGAAATTAATCTGCAGGTAGTTTATAAAGCTAAAGTGTCTGACCCAGGCAAACTAGCACACAAGTTGTTCATTTTTCTCTGATTAAAAGTGAAGTTTTAATAAATAAATAAGTCTTAGCTGGGTATTGTGGTGTGTACCTGTAATCCCAGCATTCTGGAAGGCAGAGGTAGGAGGATCACAAGTTTTAGCCCAGCCTAGGCAACTTAACAGTTTAGTGAGACCCTGTCTCGAGATAAAAAATAAAATTAAGCTGTGCATAGTGGCGCTGTGGTAGGAAGATCACCATGAGTTTGAGTCCTGCCTGGGGTACATAATGAGTTCAAAGCCAGCTTGTCTCAAAAAACATAAATGAATGAATGTATGTTAAAAGGGGGTGGGGATGATAACTCAGTGCAAAGGCCCTGGGTTCAATCCCCTGTACTATCAAAAAAAAAAAAGAAGAAGAAGAAGAAGAAATCTCTCCTTGACTGGGCAAGGCTATACTTCTGTGGTAAATTGCTTGCCTAGCATGTGCAAATCCCTGTGTTTGACTCCCAGTGTTACAAAAAATAAAATCTTTCCTGAGACCTTTCAGGTACAAGAAATCTGTGACTGATAATTGCCTGGCTGATGCTTCTGTCTTGGCTCTGCCATCCAGAGACATACCCTCATCTCTGGGGCTGTGAGTTTTACTTGGGTGCCTGGCACCCCTGGAGGCTCAGGCCTAGGCCAAGTTTCCCACTCTGACTGGGCCTGGGGCTCTCTCTCAGATTGCTGACCCTGGGGTTGTCTCTCCTACATGCTGATGTCGTTCCAAATGCAACCATTCGCAATGTGCTTCGTGAGAAGATCTACTCCACCGCCTTTGACTACTTCAGGTATGCCCCAATGTGTGCTGAGTGTGTGTCCAGGTATAGCCCCATCCCCATGGCCTGTTATCACAGAAGGAGATAGATCACTCATAGAATGACACAGTTTGACCTCATGCTTATTGGCCTTATTGTTCACTAGCCCTGATGCTGCAGGATTTAATATCCTCAGCCCTGTGCCTGTGTGTGTGCACATGAGTATATGTACTTAGACTCCCAGGAAGGTGTATGCCAATTTTCCCTTAGTTAAGCTAATTTAAGAGATAAAATGGAACTGGACACTGGTGTGTTCCTGTTCTTCCAGCAGCTCAGGGGGCTGAAGTGGAAGGACTGCTTGAGCCTAGGAGTTTGAAACCAGTCTGGGCAATGGTGGGGTAGTTTGGGTGTGGAGGTAGGGGAATTGGGGTGAAGGTGTGGTAGTAGATAGAAAAAGAGAATATGCCTGGAACTTTGTTATTGTACATAGCTCAGTTGTCATGATCTTCCATAAATAGACCACTCAGCCAGAAGCTATAGCCATTGCAGATGGTGTTGGACAGGAGGGTGCTCTAAAACCACTGCACTTTCCATGGGCATCAGTGAGGTCTTTGTTGCTGATGACCAGTTCTGGGCCAACCTCTTAACATTAAGGAACCACTTATGCCACCTCTTGCTGTGTTATAAAATTGGCATCTGGTCACTGACTCCACTCAACTCTTGTCCCCTGTGATTGTTTGCAGTTGTCCCCCAAAGTTCCCTACTCAAGGAGAAAAGAGGCTGCGTGAAGACATAAGCATAATGATTAAATTCTGGACGGCCATGTTCTCAGATAAGAAGTACCTGACAGCCAGCCAGCTCGTTCCCCCTGGTGAGCATAGCTGTCAGCAGTGGAGCTGCTTGGGAGGGCAGCAGGCAGGACAGGGATACACTATGGACACCTCTGTTGGAGCTGGGGCCCAGCTGAGTGCTGTCCTTGGCCATCATTCATGTCATTGGAGACCCGGCATCTGCCTGGCTACCATTTCTCCTTCAGTCCAGGATGAGGCCCATGACAAGCATAGGAGACCATAAGCAGACACCTCATACTGCAACTTCTTCCACGCCACCTGTATGCACCAGCGTCTGCTGAGTGCCTAATGTGATGGTATGGAGCTGAGGCCAGAGTGCCCAGGTGAATACAGCACAGTCCATTGTCATCTGGTAGGCATTCAGGTGGTGGTAACAGAGAGAGGACCATGGTGCTCCCCTTAAGGGATAGCCACTTGTCCCAGTAGAGCTGGGGAATCAGGTCACTTTCTGAAAGCAGTGACATTTAGCATAGCAGTGACAAAGAGCTTTCCAGAGCAAGAGAACACAGTGTTCTGTGAGAAGCACTGAAGCTTTTGCTAGAAGGAAATCTAAACAGAAACTATATTCCTGTTCCTCTGAGCATGTAGCTGTGTACAACCATACATTAGGAGACAGGACAGGGGTTTCTGTAGGCAGACCCACAGCTGATCATCTCATTTCTAGGAAAAAGAAAAAAATCATTTAAAAGCAGACAGAGTGACTTTTTTCTTAAGGTACTATACTTTTTTTTCACTTTATGGCTTATGCAGATTAGTGAGTTTCGTTGTGGCGATACATGCATGCAAATAACATACTTTGGTCATATTCACCTATGCTGTTATCATCTTCTTACCCTGTCCTCCCCCTCAGTTTCACATTTTTGGGGAAGGGTTTCCTAGTGTATAATAAATCTCGCTCATGTCCATCCCCCCCGACACCCCTCTCCCTCCTCTTACTCCCTTCCTCTTGTCAGTAGTAGTCTTCTACTTGTCATCTTTTTCAGATTCCACACATTAGGGAGAACATGCAATATTTGTCTTTGAGTTGGGGGACAGTGATTTTCTAAAGCACTTAAAATGGGACAAACAACCCATTGTAGCCAGGCATGGTGGCTGTAATCCTAGCACTCAGGAGGCTGAGACGGGAGGATTGCTGCAAGTTCATGGCCAGCCTGGGGTACATAGTTTAAGGCCACCATGAACTAGCAAGACCTTATCTGAAAAAAACAAAAACAAATGAACAACAACAAAAACATGTATTCTGTCCCCACAGGTACTCAGGCTACTGTTATATATATATATATATTTTTTTTTTAATTGGAAATTTGCACCTTTA